GAGAAAGCCGTGTTTGCAAATGGATTTACGTCCAGAACCTGTGTATGTCTTTGCGGCGAAAGCAGCGCCTTTCCAACCGTTGCAGATGGCCCTGGTCCAGGTACACTTGACTTCTCTTTCCAAAGCTTTCTGTTGGTTTCCACGACGTCCAAAATACCTGCACGCATGGGTCTGGATTGCATGGTACCAGTCTAAAATACTGAAGCGCATGGGTCTGGATTCAGTTGAAGGACCGATCTTTTTGGCGTCATGCCTAGCAGTAGTTTAAAATATTTGCGCGCATGGGTCTGGATTTGGCTGCGTGCCCAATCTGACCGGCATCATGCATGGTATCAATCTAAAATGCTTAAGTACATGGGTCTGGATTCGATTGAAAGACCGATCTGCCCGGCATCATGCATGGTATCAGTCAAAAATACTCACGTGCATGGGTCTGGATTCGGCTGAGTACACCGATCTGTCCAGCGTCATGCATGGTATCAGACTAAACTACTTAAGTGCATGGGCTGAATGACCGACCTGTCTGGCGACACGCATGGATATTTTGATGCATTAACTGCAGCCAAGTTACCATGTGGAATGTGCCCCTGTCGTTGCTCCAATGGCACATTTGCTTCGGTTTCAGGGTAGTGTTCAGCCATTGCAGCTTCAATGGCTTGCCTCAAGTCATGGGCCTCCCCTTGGCCGCGAAAAGTTTCATGCCCCATCCGGATGAGCTCAAATATAAGCAAGAGTACCACACCAGGCCGTACCATCAACGACCGACAATGCCCGAGCAATGGCCCCAACTCATTGGTTAAAGTGAACCGGATAAGATATCCAAGGCATGCAGGCGATCGAGGGAGGGACCGCATTTCAGCTTCAGACACTGTATCACCCAGTTGATGCAGGATGTCCTCCCATGGCATCACGAAACTGTTGACGTACCCTCTCATAGCTGTCCGATACCTCTTCTGCCCAAAGCCTTCATTCAAAAGGTGACCACGGTCACCCTCCACATAGAAAACAGACGTCGTAGTCCAAATAGGTGTTGCCACCAGCGTCTCTATGAAGCGGACTTCATATTTTACTATGAAACTACTCAGAAAACCCCAGAAATTGTCGTTGCACAATGCCATGGGCGAGCCATAACTGTTGCCGTTTGCCAAGCACGCAAAGCATTCACTGCAAATTGGCAGTTTGCAACCACTACAGATTATGTTCGGCTCATGCTGATCGCAGCTCACGATATCTTCTGGGCAACATAAAACTTTCAGTTTTTCGCCTGTTGCCAACAGGAACTGCCGTACCCACACGTTGTCCTGCACGCTGCGTCAAAGAGCTCACACATACAAGAACCGAAGTTGTTGGAAATGGCTATGTTGCATACCAAACAATTTCACGTTTGCTTCCAATTAAACTTTACTAGCACCAAAGCACTTTCTAGTTTATCTCCAACGTTTCACTATCACACTTTCATACTTTCGAACCCCCCACCTTCAAATCTTCGCAGTGCTCAAAAGGTGGCCCATTACCGTATGTCTCAATAAACATGTCATATCCAAAATTGACTGTCAAGGTGCTCCGCGGTAACTCCAACAATGTTTTTCCAGGATGTATTTGAATGTCCCCCTGCTGCCCTTCACCTGTCATTTCCACTTTTTTGCAAGCACAGCACAAGCAAACTAACATCCGTACATGAGCACTCGAGATTGCTTGCTACATTAGCTCAATGGTTCTTCGGTCCACACTGACTCCCACTAGCCCCATGTGCATTTCTTCCTTCTTACGAATAGCTGCTGCATAGAAGGCTAGAACATCTTCACAGCCTTGCCCGTGCATCTCACAAACATGCTGTTTACCAGCTAGGAGCGCGCCATGCTCCTTGCATAGATGACCTCCAAGCTGGCGATAAGTTTCACCTGTCCAAGGACACCCTTTGAAGGCACAATGCACTAATGGCAACCTCACGCCACTGTCCACATCGGTCCAACTGCGAACAGACTCTGGATCAGTGGGGTCTGCTGGCAACAGAGGCCTATCCCGTAAACACGCGCAGATTCTCTGAACTACATCATCTTCTGCATCTTGATCCGTCTGCCAGTCTTTGTTGTCCGTCACACTCACGAGGTCTACGTAGTCAGCGCAGTCACTTTCTTCGCTACTAAGTTCTTCGGATACTGCATCACTGGAAGCAGTTTCAGCAAATATATTTGCAGAACATGCCTCTGCCGGAATGTTCGCAGCTTCACCTTTCTTTGGGTGAAAGAAGACATCGCACAATTCAGTTCCTCTCCCCGGCAAATTCACACGTTCCAACAAAGCAACCAACGGGCCCCTGCATTGGTCCCACAATTCTTGAAAAATTTCAATGTTCTTTTGCGTCGAATTCAAATTCATATCCACGACTCTCACGATTTCATAGTGCGCTCCACCCCAGTAAAACAAAACACCATCAAAAAAGCAACATTGTGAACATGTTTCTTCAAACTGTTGGCTAGCTACAAACTGATGCGTCGGCAAAATGCAGCCACTTCCTCTATAGGGCATGTCCACCAGCAAGATTTTCCAGTCCAGCGCAGCCACTAAAGCTGTGATTTCCGGCGCATCAGCGTAGTGATCTGAGTCCAAAACATTCACACGGTCCAGAAGGACCAACAACTTGTCAATGACATATAGCTCTGCAACCGTTAAGCCGTCACTTCCCATAACCTGTCGATTAGCCAATCTGCCCCTGCGAGCAGCATGCTCTGCCTCTGTTTCACTCGACAGCAGCTGCAACTCATCATTGCAAAACAGCAATCCTAACGCTAACAAATACATTTTCCAGGCCATGTCCTCTGGAATTACCGCAATCTGCTCTTCACACAAAGCGACTAAACAATGAAAAAAACAGAAGCCATCCCCTGGGACTTCTCGGTGACAAAGAACTGACCCAGTCAGCGCTTGCAACGTGTCTATGGCATGTAGCAGATCTTCCTCACTTTCGAGGTCCATACTGCAATTTGTTGCAAGTTTTCAATGCTGCACGCTCACACACACATTTCGAAGTCTGGTTACTCTGCACAAGTTATACTTAATGAAACAGGCATTCACCTTCTTAATGCTTTCTTTGTCCAAAAACAGATCAAATTTGAAGATCCTGTCACTTCCACTACACGTACGCAAACATGTTCCTTATCTGCTCAAACTGGATTCCTTGGCTCCAAGAGCACAAGAAGCCGATCCTGCAGCCAAATTTTGCTTCGGAAGATCTCTGCACCAGGCTAATATACAGTCTGAAGTCTGATCCTCGTTGCACAAAAATCAGCCTGAGAACGGCGCTCTCGATCACCTTGACGTTAAAGCTCTTAGCCTCCTGCAATAATTTTCGACGCAGCCACAAGACACCTATGTATCCGTGACCGCACCGCACAACTCAGCTTGTATCCATGTCCCAATCTTTCCATCGCGCTTGCTCTCTGCCACGCAACAGCCATCGGCTGGTTCCGTAGCTACGCTGTTCTCGAATTGGATTGGTTTCTTGCTTCTGCGTCACAATACAGACTGGCAGAATTTTGCTTGTGGATCCTACCCTACTGCTGTTTCTTTCGAGATTCTTGGCCAACAACTTCGGAAACCAAAACTCCACCAGTCCATTGCAACATTCTTCTCGCTCTGCCCTTTGAAATGCAGAAATCGCCATGGGCAAGAGCAAAAGATTCTGTATAGAAGCAACCAACCAAAACCTATGCCTGGGCCTTCAGGCATACTTCAAACCTGCCAGAAACCGATAGATTTGTAAAGTCTTGCAACTCCGAACATGATTGCATACGAAATCACATTCATGGTCTTGCCTGCAGAAATAGCATCTCATTCCAGATCCACCACATCTTTCTTCAGGGCCCCTTCACATTGCTGTTCCTCCTAAAGCAATCAGACTGCCATTTCAACTCAATTTGGGCACATGCGATTCTAGCCTGCGCCTCCACATCCACCACTGTAACGTTTGGACTGCTACCCTGCACAGGAGAATAGCAAACGGTTTACTACCTATCACTCACTCACAACATTGTTCTGGTCACCTTACTGCCCTTGGAACATTTGCTTTTCACGAACTTGGACGAGCTTTGCTACTCCAGCATCTACACAAACAATGGCAGATTCAATATTTGCCATGATCCAACCTCTGACTGCAGCACAGACTTCGACGGATCTTCCATGACCTCTCACAAAAATCCAAGCAAACTATTCGACCACAGCAAGCGCAAACTTCGATTGCTGCTGTCTACACAAACAATGTCAGACTCAATCAAACAGATAAAAGCCTCCAAAGGAGCAACAGCCTCAGCACTAGAACGGGGCAACTGTGTTGGGCAGACACCAAACAACAACCCACGACCCAGTTTGGTTCTAACCCTGCACGCACAGGTATAAAGATAAACAGAGCTTCCAAGAACCTAGTTAACACTCAGGCCTCGCCGCCCATCATCGGCTGTCCATCATCCTGCCCAGCAGTTACAACTTGCGCCCTTACCTTCAGCTCGGGCCCGCCTAACAACACATCCGACTCAACTTGCCATGAGCCAACCTCTGACTGCAGCACAGACTCCGTTGCATCTTCCATGACCTCTCACAAAAATCCCAAGCAAACTATTCTACCACAGCAAACGCCAACTTCGATTGTTCTGTCTACATAAACAATGTCAGACTCAATATGAAACAGGGAAAAGCCTCCAAAGGAGCAACAGCCTCAGCACTAGAACGGGGCAACTGTGTATGAAGAGCATCCAAGAACCTAGTAAACACTCAGGCCTCGCCGCCCATCATCTGCTGTCCATCATCCTGCCCACCGGTTACAACTTGTGGCCTTACCTTCAGCGCGGGCCCGCCTAACAACACATCCGACTCAACTTGCCATGAGCCAACCTCTGCCTGCAGCACAGACTTCGACGCATCTTCCATGCCCTCTCACAAAAAACCCAAGCAAACTATTCTACTACAACAAACCTAAACTTCAATTGCTTCTTCCGTCAATCACATCAGTCCTCCACATCTTCATCCGCATGCATCTTTCCACTTTCGCATGGCTCCTCAGACGCCTCGCAGCATGTCCAAACTTCAACTTCCCTCAAACGACCCCCACCCACAAGCTAAAGCCCTGCCTTCTGCCCGATGAGGTGTGGCATGTCAAGCAAAGCATTCCAACAACGAACCGCATTCACGTCCGGCAACTCCGGAACTGGCCGCAGCAACGTCAACCTGTTGTCAATGCAAGTAGTGATGAGCTCATGGTGCGGTAGCTCTACCAGCGCGACATACCCAGTGGAGTAAACATATTCAGTACGCCCATCCCTCTCAACCGTTTCTGCATAGTCTTGTAACCCTTGACGATGAACATACCCATCACCATACAAGGTGATGAGGCCAGACTGCCCTTGGAACTCCACCACACCGATCAAATGCTTAGCACTTGTAGGAGACTCAAACTCGTGCAAATGGTCCCTGAGGTACTCTTGAACTTGCTCATCAGATAGAATCAGCTCCACCGATGGATACTCCAAAGAGTCTTCCGTCACTGGCACACTAGATGGCACCACCCACTGAATTCGAATTGGTTTCGCTTTTGGACTGGAAGTAAGTCGCCATTTGTAGAAATCATCCAGCATGCTCATCATTGCCACAACTTCATTGCTTGGCTCTTCAACAGCAAAGTAGAAAGCACGGGACCAATTCTTCACACCAATATTGAGTGGGTCATAGCCATTGGAAGTCGACATCTTCACACAATGTTCATCAATGTAGCCATCCCACGTAATGCCACGGCCCTCCATAAACAAGGCCAGCTGCTGATCCAGGCGGTGCAAGAAATTGCCCACGTCCTTCCCTGCAATCAACAAGATTGCCCACAAGGAACAAGCATCAGAAGCTTCAGCCAAAACCCCACGTCCACCACGCCCTGTGAAGATAGCAGCCTTGTTGGCAAAAGGGGCGACCACACAAACCAATGACTGCTGCAAGCCTTTCTGCGGTACCTTTCCAGATGCCAGACTGGCAAGGGAAGGCGTTGTCTTCTGCACTTTCTTCAAATTCTTCTTCGGTGTGGCAGTCCACTTACCCATGGCTACTAACAATCACAACAGGAAGGCAAGAGAAGATGACCTCGGCTCCAAGAGCACAAGTACTACAACACAAGTTTTCGAACCGGAACAGCTAAGGATGACCCATGCATGTCGACTGTGCATTCATGCAGCAAAATTAACTCAATTACCTCCCCAGGAAATCTCCTCATTCCCTGGGACGCCTCAACATTCTTGAGCCTGCACCTAAGCCCACAACCATCCAACATCTTTCACTCTGCAATATTCAGCTCAATCCGACGACATAAACTCTTGCTCAAAAAAGCCACTGACTCTTTGTAGCGCTGTATCCAACTTCAAACTCAGCTCCTGGCCCCAATTAACAAGTTCCTGCACCATGAAGCGTCAAAATCAACCTACTACCGTCCAGTTACGACCTGCTGGCCCTTTCAGAAAGGCCCACCCCGGATCCAGCAATGCACTCACACATTTGTGGCAAGCCTGGGTGGTCTTATCATTGGACGCCTGCACATTACAGCTCCGAAGTTCTTCCATAGTTGCTTCATAGATATCCCTTGGCTCTGTCCAGCCCAGTACTTTCGACCTTATCCGAACGGCTTCACGCAAAACAGCCCATCGCAAAACATTTTCACACGACAACATGACATACATTCACCTTGGCTCCAAGAGCACAAGTACACAAGCTGAGCCAGAAATTTCTATGCGCAACCGTCCAAAAAAAATCCAAGATCAAGAAAGGGCACCCATCCGATCCACATCATGTTTTCATCATGTCTACAAAGTTCCCGTTTAGATGCATACTTGATGTCCAAACCGGTCTCATAACCTCGTCACAAAACAAAATTGCTATCCACACGAGCCTTCTTTGTGATCACAACGTACCGTAGCGAACCCACCACCATACTTGTTGCCAAGCGACCAAAGAAAACGACCCCTTGCATAACAAAGTTGCTATCTACAAGACACTTTTGTTTGATAGCAACTTGTTGTCGCCAAGCAACTACCATACTTGTCCTCCCAACCACCATACTTGTTGCCAAGTGACCAAAGAAATCGACCCCTGCATACCAAAGTTGGTATCTACAAGACACCTTTGTTTGATAGCAACTTATTGTGGCCAAGCAACCACCATACTACTTGTCCCCATAACAGCCAGTAAACTCAATATTTAAGCAAATATTTTCCGCAATTGCGTGCCTTACCACCTGCTGCACCGTCCTCTATACATGTCCATGTACAAGTGTATATCTGTATATTGCTACATATGCATATGTATGAAAGAATTTACATGGTGTATACCAATGCAATGCACATGCAAGCAACCGCCACAATGATAAGACCTGCAAATCATGCTGGCTGATCCACGTAAACAACCAAAACATTACTTGAAAGACAGGGAGATGACAAATGTTAGACAAAGGGCGTGGGTGAACATGCAGATGGTGAGGATGCCACGACAATGATGATGATGATGATGATGATGGTGATGATGATGATGATCATAATGATCACTATCAGTATGAAAATGATGACGAAGATGATGACAATGATGGTGACGGTGATGATGATGATGATGACGATGATGGCACTAAGGAGCATCATCAGCACCATCATCATTATCATCATCATCTTCGTATTTCCAGTCTGATCCTTGGCTCTTGAATTTGAGTGCTTTCACACGATCATCCAGATATCTCGAATCACCAAAGAACCTCTGGCCCCAAACTTGTCCGCCAGATGAATGCCTAGGCTTTCCATTTGGACGCTGCCCTGATGTGTTGATGATGTATGAAATCTATGTGCATATATATATATATATGACTACTGTGTATATATATATATGTGTATTTCTGTACATATGTATATGTGTATAAACGTGTCTGTATATACATGATACAACCAATAATCTTAATGGCGAAATGGACCCTTTGGCTACCCACTTATTGGGATTTCACCAGCTGGATCTTAGAGGATTGCCTGCTGGCATTTAAGAGGAGTTGTCCTAAAACCCAAACAATAGTGATATACTATGTAGTATACTACATGAAATATCTAAGATACTACATAGTAATATATATATACACAATAAGTTATATATGATAGGAACATCCCCCCAAATTTCCACAGTGTTTTCACTCTCAAAGTAAGCAGCAAGATATCCCATCAAGAACTGCAGTTGATGCGGCAACGGTTTATGCCAGAATCAGCCAATTTTGGATAATTCAACCCATCAGATCCCGTCCCCAAGAATCAAACTCTAGATCAACTAGTAGATCCCATTAAAAATCCCTTGCAAATTCCATTCAAACCCAGGAAAAAAAAAGGCCATTGATGCGGGGTCGCCAGTGCCCCACGAACATTGCCAAGATCCGGGTACCTGCGATCTGATCATCAGCTAATGATTAATGTGTGTATGATTAATTGTAGATATATATATAATTATATATAACTATATATATATAACTATATATAACTATATATAACTATATAGAACTACAAAACTATATAGAACTATAACTATATAGAACTCTATAGAACTATATAGAACTATATATATAACTATATATAACTATATATAACTATATATAACTATACAGAACCATATAGAACTATATATATAACTATATATATATAACTAAATATATAACTATTTATAACTAAACATATTTATATATATAAATAACTATATATATAACTATATATAACTATATATATAACTATATATATAACTATATATATAACTATATATATATAACTATATATATAACTATATATATAACTAAATATATAATTACATATAAAACTATACATACAACTATATATATCTATATGTAACTATCTTTTTAACTATATACATTATATTTAACTATATATATATAACTAACTATATATATATAACTATGTATATAACTATATATACCTACATATATATATAAGTATATATAAATAACTATTCTGTATAACTATATATAACTATATCTCTAATTATATATAAATAACCATATATATAACTATTTGTTTCACTATATATATAACTATGTTATATATATATATCACTGTATATAACTACATAAACTACTATAGCTGTATATTATAAATATGCTTATATGTACATACTATACATAACTACATGAAACTATATATATAACTATCTATATAGCTATACATAACTATATATAACTATATATAACTAAATATAACTACATATAATTATCTAAATCACTATATATATCACTTTAAATATCACTATATATGTAACTATATATCTATATAACTATATATATATAACTATATATATAACTATATAACTATATTTACCTATATATAACTATATCTAACTATACCTAACTATATATAACTATATATACCTATGTATATTTATAACCTCCATCAATCTCAAACCTGACGTGCTGGAAAGTCTCTCAGTTGTCGATGATTCTCCGATCGAACTACAAACCTCTAGTTATAGGGGAGTTCTTACCATCGTTCAAAATCCCTGTCATTTCATTCATTATACTGGTTGGTTACTTAATAGGCAGTCCCCTAATGGATTATTCTCATTGTCATCCCCAATGTGTTTATTATATTATATATAGGGTAGGGTAGTCTAATCTGCGAACTAATCATCAACCAACAGGGATTTTGAACGCTTCTCCATTGCTCAGATCTTCACGTAGACTGGGATATTTGAATTACCCTCTGATTATTTAACATAGCGAAGCCATGGCCCATAGAAATGGATGATTTATTTTGAATAATTTGCCCAACTTAACGATGCTGATTTTCCACTCGGTAAAGAACGCCTGCCTTCCGTGATCTCCATGAAGTAGTTCACCCGATCCACGTTGTAGCGACTACCTGGCGGCTTTTCGCATGACAGGCAGGTGACGTCATGGTGACTTCATGGACTTCAATGGGTGTTCATGTGGGATCTGCCATGACGGAAATGAGCATGCTATACCTAAAAATTGCCCTCTTGATTTCATGTAGCCATATAGCAAACGATGCTCGTTTCCCACTTGATTTTGGATGAGCTGACATGCTTGCAAGGACAGACACTTTGAATGAGAGAGCTGCCGAGTTTTGTCATATTCAAAATCAACGTTATCTGCATCAGTAAATAGAACCATACAAAACTATATAGAACTATATGTATAACTATATATATAACTATATATATCTAACTATATATGTAACTATATATATATAACTATATATAATATAACTAAACATATATTCATATATGTATATCTATATATATATATGACTATATATATATACAAATATATATATAATTATGTATAAAACTAAATATATAACTATATATATAGAACTATATATATAACTATATCTATAACTATATATATATAACTATATATATAACTATATATGTAACTATATATGTAACTATATATGTAACTATATATGTAACTATATCCAATATATATATGTATATATATAACAAACTATATATATAACTATACATATATAACAATATATATATATATAACAATATATATAACTATTTATAATTATATACATATAACTATATATATATAACTATCTATATATATAACTTATATACCTATATAATTGTTAATTATATACTTATACCTATATATATATAACTATAATATATATATATAACTATATATATAACTATACATAAATAACTATATGTATAACTATATCTTTAACTCTATCTATTACTATATATATATAATTATATATATAACTATATATATAACTATATATATATAACTATATATATATATCACTCTATATAAATAAATATATATATAAACTACTATAACTGTATATTTTAATTTATGTTTCTATGTACATACTATACATAATTACATATAACTATATATCTGTATAACTATATATATAACTATATAACTATATATACCTATATATGACTATATCTAACTATACCTAACTATATATAACTATATATACCTATGTATATTTATAGCCTCCATCAATCTCAAACCTGACGTGCTGGAAAGTCTCTCAGT